GTGTTCCCTTCTTTGTAGAATAAAGAAATCTTTGTATGTGAATGAACACACCTAGATTGAGGAAGAAAATCCATTTAGATTAATTTTCCTGTATTTTAATCAAGGTTCCCATATGATTCTACTGATATGTAATGAAAAACAAAATTCAGGCCTGACCTGCATTAAGGATATTTCTATGTGTTGTGTTTTTCTATGTTCCAAGCTTTATACAGTATCTTGCACACCTGTGTAACATGCTTAAACTTTATTTTCTTAAATCTGCTGAACAGGTCCATTTTTATATTCAGATAAGTATTATTTGAGGAATTTGGCACAAAGGTTATCATGAACGTTTCTGGTGAATATAATTATTTCAGCCATGCAGTAGGCCACAGAAGATAAGAGATTTACCTTTTGTCTATATTTCACATTTACCTGATCTTACCATTTTAGAGATTCAGTAAGACAAATTAATGCATTGCAATTTGCTGAGAAAATGAGCATTAGGTTACTGTGATTTAGGATCACAACGAGAGCACTGTATGACCTGCTGTAGGACCACAATAATGAGAGCACTGCGTGGCATGATGTAGGACCATAACAATGAGAGTACTGAATGACCGGCTGTTGGACCACAACAATACTGTAAGTGTGGCGTGACCTGCTATAGGACCACAACAATGAGAGCACCTCATGATTTGCTGTAGGACCACAATAATGAGAGCACTGCGTGACCTGCTGTTGGACCAGAACAATGAGAGCACTGTGTGACCTGCTGTAGGACCAAAACAATGAGAGTACTGCATGACATGATGTAGGACCACAACAATGAGAGCACCTCATGATTTGCCACAATAAGGACCACAATAATGAAAGCACCATGTGACCTGCTGTAGGACCACAACAAGAGCACTGCGTGACCTGCTATAGGACCTTAACAATAAGAGCACTGCACGACGTGATGTAGGACCACAATGAGAGCACTGTGTGACCTGCTATAGGACCACGACAATAAGAGCACTGTGTTATCTGCTGTAGGACCACAACAATGAGAGCACTGCATGACATGATGTAGGACCACAACACTGAGAGCACTGCATGACCTGCTATAGGACCACAACTGCACTGCATGACCTGCTGTAGGAACAGAATAACAAGAGTGCTGCGTGACCTGTTATAGGACCACAACTGCACTGCATGACTTGCTGTAGGAACAGAATAACAAGAGTGCTGCGTGACCTGTTATAGGACCACAACTGCACTGCATGACTTGCCTTAATAATAGGAGAATTAATAGGTGATGCATTATTATCAAAACAAATTACCTTATTACCGAGACCTAAAAGTAAATATGTAAGAAAGAAGTTGTATGACTGTTTTGAGAAGTGAATGATTTGATAAAATTACAAAAAAAAAACACTAATTTGCAATTCATAATTCAGTACAGATGCCAGATTCAAAGTAACAGTAGTTCTGTATTCATCCCAGTGGAGAAGTGCAAATGAGAGAACATTGCTGCCAGCTCCCCTCAGATTGCCAGTTTATCTACTTATGTCTCTAATAGATGGCAGCAAAATATGGAATCACTTATTTGTGTATTTCAATTCAAGAGGATTGTTTTTTTCTGAAACGAAACTGTTACTTACAGAATTCAGATTGTCCCTCAAGAAATCTGCAGTAGTCCTACTTAGAAAGTCTGATAAATACACAGTGCAAAAGAATGAAATCCAGAAGTTTTCTACTAAATATTCTTAATCACATAATTCTGTAATTCTGTCATTTAAAATAAGCAGAAATAAATTAAGGTTTGTGTTTGCAGAATTCTTTTAATTCTGACAGGGAAGAACAATGTTTTACTGATTGTTGTTGTTTAATGAGTTTTAGAATTAATGAAAAATCATTTTCTTAAATGTTCTTAAATTTTTTAACAAAAAACATAATGATAAAATGATTAAAAATGCGAATTATATTTTTTCTATAAACCTTTCCTCACCTTGCTTTCCATTGGTCTCTTTCAAGTTTTGAGAAGAATACATCTGTGATACAGTAACAGCTTTTGCAGATTAGATTGATCCTACTGATCCTAATCAGAATGAGCTATAAAGAAGACTTTTGTGCTCACTTTTATCAGTATACCTAGATAAGATATACCTAGATGTGAGACATTTTATTAGTATCACAAACAACTTTTGGTCATTAACAACAATGACTGCTGTTCAGTTTTTTTTGTGAGTCATCAGTTTCGAGAAGGTTCTCATAAGAATCAATATGGATGTGATTTTTCTACTGTTGCTGTGTGAAACAAATGAGTCCTAATAGTGATAAATTATAATATTTGCATTTGTGGAATTATCACTGTCTGATTATGGCACCCTAAACATGATTACCAACAAGTAACAGAAATCTGTATGGAAATACCCCACATGATCTCCCAAAACTACAAAAATAGCGATAACATAAACAATACCATGTTATAGCACTTGAAAGGTCTTTGAGTGAGTTTAGGGGAATGAGGAGATGGTATCATTGCTCTTAAAAGGAATTTGTGATTTCATATTAACTTTGCCAGCTCTGACA